CATTCCATTCCCATTATCAACCCACACACAAGCAGAATCGGTGGAGAGGAGGCGCGTCCGCTGCCACATTATGAATTTAATTGCAACAAAAGGCCACAACGACAAATATTGTGCAATTTTGCAAGCCATACACGACGAGCCAACACAAAAGACCCGTCAAAACAAGGAAGAACCAGTCACAGTCACAGACCCAGAGAGCCAGCCCAGAGCCAGAGCCAGACCTAAGTCCAGACTTGGCCATAAAAAGGAGCAGTCAATGTACCCCGAAAAAACATTAAAAATAAAAAAAAAAAAAAAAATGAAAAACCATACCCTACGCCATGCATAAAAGCCGAACAACGAACAGAAACGAGAAACGAGAACCGAGAACAGAGAACCGAAAAAGCATAGCCATGACGCGGCAGGCAGGCATCCAACAGCCATGACCCACACCAACAAACAGGAAGAGCAAAGGCGAATGCCAAAACAACTTTTGTCCAAAAATGTGGAAACTGTAATAAAAAGACAGAGACAGGGACAGAGTTGGAGTAAGCGAGAGCGGAAGCTACACAGAGAGTGTGACAGAGAGAGAGAGAGAGGGAGAGCGAGACAGATTGCGGTGCCTAGAGAGTGTGCATAGAGAGCGGAACATTTACTCGCTTCAACGCCAAATTTCAATTACAATTACCAACACGAGTGGGAGAGTAGAAGTAGGAAGTGCCAGCGAAAAAAAGTGAAGGGAAGAAAGGGAGCAAAAGGTGGATAGGCAGGGAGGGAGGTAGGGAGGGCCTGTCGTGGGCTGCAGATTACGAGTAGTGTGAATGGAAAATAAACTAAAGCTGCTGCTGCTGCTGCACTTCACTTTTTCTACCGATGGTATTTTAGGGTCTGTATATTTTACCATTTAAATTAACTATTTTCAGCGTAATTCAGAGGCAGTGCCCTTCGATTTTTGTTTTTCTAATTTCTTTTAGTGAAATGTTCCATTAATTATCTATGGGATTTCTCCACCAGCTCAAGTGCTGCCTCGCTAGATTAGATTTTCTGTCAAAAAAGCATCGGTAAAAACTGAACCGTTTAATGGCAGCTTAGCTCTACTGGGGCTTTGGTTCGCTACTGCTTCTGGCTGAGGCACAAAACTAATTCTTCTTCCGACTTCGGTGCTTGGTGCTGCAGAAACATATACGTTCCACGTATATGGGGAGCCATTAAAAATGGCTGCTTACATGGCTGCGAACACGACACAACACACAGATATGTACACAGACACAGCTGCAGTTACTCGTGCAACCCGAAAAAAGAAGAGCAACAGACAAACAGAAGTGCAGAAGGAGACACATAACCCACACACAGAGACCTACCAGACCTACCTACACACAGAGCAGAACAGAGCAGCACAGAGCAGAACAGAACAGAGTGAAGCTCCCCACTCGATGGAGCATTTAAATCGGAGCAGCAGTGGCTCCGCTCCGTTTGCGCTCCGCGAATGGAGTTGCAAAACAGAACGTCCAAAGGTTAATCAACTCTGGCGGCACTCTGCAACTTGCAACCAAACTCAGTCGCAACTCTCGCAAAGTTTTTTTGTCCAAATGCTCAACCAGGCAGGCAGTCAGGCGGCATGTGGCATGAGGCATGAGGCAGGGCGACAGAGTTGCCATCGCATCGCGCAACTCCATCGTGGAGAAGAACACAACTCCATGGCCGTGGCCCCGCATGTTGCTGCTGTTGTTGTCTGTGGCACGAAACGCGAAAAGAATGGAAAGGAAAGGAAAGGAGTGAAAAAGCGGCAGCAGTGGAAGCAGCGAAGGCCATGGAGCATCTAATTGAATTGGTTGCATGGCGTGGACTCTGCTCCATTCTGCTTTTGCCTACTCTCTGCTTAATGCTGCCCCATTCGGCGTCCCTCTGCTTTATGCCCCTCCATTGTACCCCATTCGGCTCTCCAACTCTTTGGTTGTTGTTGTGCTGCAAGCTCCCATGACAATGGCATTGAGGGGAGAACCACACCACACACACACACACACACACAACCCACAATGCAACCGAAGAGAGCGCGCCCCAAAAATAGAAGAGAGCGAAAGAGTTATGGCAGCGAGAGAGATTGCATAATTTTGTGCAACGCGTTGCACATTGTTTCTGTGTGTTTGTGTGTGTGTGTGTGTGCCTGCCTCTCTCTTTGGCTTTGCTGTCGCTGTATGAGTGTGTGGCATTGGCTTTTGTCTGAGTGTTGAAGCTTTGGCCTTGGTTTTTTGTTGAGGTTGGCGTCTGCGGGGAGACCCAGGAAATTGTTAAATGCACAAAATGTGTTTAATATTTCAGGGAAAAAGAAAGAGTTGATAGAGCGGGTTAAAGATGCCACCATTTGGTGGAGAAATGAATGATGGTGCATCAAAGTTATATTGGAACATTGTTAGTTTAGTTTTGGAATGGGATTTATTTTATTAATAAAATATGAAAAATATAATGATAAAAAAATATAAATATTTAATGATAAAATATATAATAAGTTGTTGACCTTCGATAGACCTATAGAAATTTTTGAGAATTTTTAGGAATTTATTCTGAAATACTTGTACATTTAAAACTTTCACCAGAGAAAACTCTTGCATCATCGAATACTTTGAGCAAGTACATTAAAAATTAATCCAGGGTTAGTGAACATTTGAAATGCTCCCCAGAGTCACTCGGACAATCAGTTAATGCAATTTTTATATCTCAAAAATTATACAATTATTATCTTTGAAATTAATTTTGCTGTAATTCTCCCCTTAACCTTTCCACTTAAATGCCATAAATTTAATTTCCATTTTGCCCTGCCGCTGCGATAAATGAAAATTAATGGCGAAAATTCATTTGACAAGCAGAAAATATTTACACACAAAAAAACAAAAACAAGAGCAGGAGCAACTAAAGGAAAAGCAAACAATTTCCAGATCATTGCATCCTCCAAATACTGCAGCAGCAGCATCCTTGGTCATTCGGCAAATGAAAATACATTTATGATTAATGAGTGCCGCCAGTCTGAATGCCAGGATGGGGGTTTAGGGTGTGCAGCAGGAGGTGGGATATTAAACGAAATATAACCGGCATATGATTGATTTTTTCCCATTAAAAAATCAACTCAAATATTGAAAATTATTTTATATTGAATAAGCAATGTTGAGCCCGGCGTATGATTGATATTTTTGCATACCCTTTAAGAGGGAGGATATGATGATTTTGATGCAAATCCACTATGAAATTTCTTCGATTAGCATATTAAAATCTAAATTTTAAATCCCCATTCCACTTTCCCATAGATCATAAAGATTTCTTAGAAAACAATCTTCCTGGGGACAATTTTTTCTGGGTATATTTCATAAATTTGTTCCACAACTAACCGAAATTCGATCACTTATCCTTACAAAAAAAATGCAACAGCAAGTGCATCAGCAAATCTTTCATTGCCCAAATTTTATCTTATGTTTTGCTTCTGCTGTTTCATTCAGAAAATATTTATGTTAAATAAAAGCACCCGGGGGAAAAGTAAACAAAAGTTGCACACACAAACACAAAGAGCAGGCAAGCAACAAAACAAGTAGATAAAGAGTAAAAGGCAACAACAACAACACAAAAAGCGAAAGAGTAAAAGGTAAAGAGAGAACGAACCCCAAAGAGAGCGAAAACGAACGAGTTGCAGGGGCAGCAGCAATTGGCAAACAAAAAACTTGTGCAAAAACAAATTTCGAAGCAGCCAGCAGAAGCAGCAACAGCAGCAGCAGCAGAGCTTTGGCAGTGGCAGTGACTGGTGGCAGCAGCAGCAGCCGCATTCTGTTACCGGTTTTTAAGCGACGTCAACGCTGGCAGCAAAAGTAGGAAGGAAACCAGAAAGCAGCCATTCTCTCTCTCATTCGCTCTTTGTGTGTGAGTGTGTGTGTCTGTGCTGAAATTGTTGAGGCAGGTCCTGGGCCGGAATACGCGAAAATAGGTACAGCCAACGAACTGCTGCTGCTGCTCTCCAGACAGAGACCCAGACCCAGTCCCAGTCCCAGTCGAAGTCAGAGGAGTCCCAGTGGCATGTCCATACCATACCCCTTCTCCGCACACACACGTGCACGTGTATGAGAGAGCGCTGACTGCTGCTGCTGCTGCTGCTGCTACCACCAAAAGAAGCATTGCAAACATGTGGCAAAGTGGCAGGGCCAATGGGTGAAGACGGCAAGCATAGCATCGCATCGCATCGCATGGAATCGCATGGCAATGGCAATGGCAATGGCACTGGCACTGGCAATGGCACGGCATCGCAGCGTCATTGTACATATGTAGTACGCGATGGCTGCAACATGGGGCACACACCAGTCAGGCACACCAGGAACCAGAGGCAGCAGGCAGCAGGCAGGCAGCAGGCACAACAAGCCAGTGGCCAAAACACTCGATAGATACAGCCGCAGTCGCCGCTGCCGCTGCCACGAACATAGTTGAAGTTGAGCCTCAGAGTCTCAGTCACTGGCTCTGCCTCTGCCTCAGAGTCGTCTGCCTCCGCTTCCAGCCACAGCCACAGCTACAGCTTCAGCTGCCATTTCAGTTTCAGTTTGTTGCCGTTCAAGAAAGCTGCAACCCATACAACTCTATCAACCATATACACCATCATGTATAATCCCATCTATAGCCCTATATACCACATAGCCATAACTATGGTTACATATAACTTTGTTTTTTTTTTTTGTTTTTTTGCGGAGTGTCTGTGCTTAAAGATGAACATGTAATGCAATTTTTCCTCTCTGATTCTCACACGTTCTCTCTTTTTCTCTGTGTGTTTTCCTCTCTATCTCTCTCTCTCTTTTGCCTCTGTCTCTGTGTCGGCTTTTCCTTTGTTGCAAATTGAATTGAACTGCAGCGAGGCGATCGGCTTACGTGGCCAGAGACAAAATCTATTGAGGATTAGGCCAAATCGAGTGGAATTGCTTTTTGCAATCAGACGAAACGTTTAGATATTTGTACTTAAATATTTATATATATATATATTTTTTTTGTATTTGCAGATTATCAAGCGGAAGTAAAGCAGGAGGAAGGAATAGAAGGAAGGAATGACTCTATTAAATTCCCAAAAAAAAAGAACTTAGACAAAGAGCAACGTGAAGGAATTGTCGTAAATATATCACTAAATATATAATACCAAAAATATCTCCTAAAATCTAAAAATAATTGCAGATAAAGGACAAACACAAAAGGAGAACTTCCACAGGAACTTCCGAAGCTGCAAAAGGAATTTCACAACTTTACCAAATGGATTAAACATGTTTTTCCTCTCAACGAGGGTTGTCCCTCGCTCCACAAAACGAATACAAATAGGGAAGGAGAACATCTGCTATCAATGGATCAATGGATAAAATAGTTTATAAAACAACAGAGAAAAATGGTGCATACTTATATATGGACCATTAACAGAAACCCGTAATTCCGAACTTGTGCTGTTTTATATCTGTTACAAGACCGGCATTATGGGAGTCTGTCAATGCAAACAACTGGTTTTTGGCAACAAAATTTTATCACAAATTTTCGATAAAACACATCTTTTGCATACAAATTGAAGGATAAATGAAGGAAATACAACAAGCATCGCACAATTGTTAATCGTTGAGGAATTTTAATATTAATCGAGTATAAAGGACAAGGTTAAATGGAAAGATGAACAAATAAATTGAGAGTAATATAACTATTAAAACAATAACAATTAATCAAACTAAAAATATTCAAATTTAAAAAGTAATGCAATGAAAAAGAAAGGAAGGAATATATGCAACTATATTGAAAATCGGTGAAAAAAAAAACTAAACTAAAGATCTAACATGATTTTGGAATTTAACACAAAGGCATATAATTTAATTTGTTTTTAACTAAATAATAATCAAGTGAACAGAATGGGCTGAAAATATTCTTAAATGCTTCCATAAATGGATGTGCATCAAAAAAGCTAAAGAAAAAAATCAAAGATTCCCACAGGAATGAGTGAAAATTAACCAACTACAGAATTAACATTTAAATTCCTGAAAACCATCGAAAAGTGTGATTTAATATTGCAAAATCTTTATTATGACTACTCTACGATAAGCAATAACTCCATAAAAACAAACTAAATTTAAAAATCAATATCAAGTAACTAAAAAAATGACTAAAGCATATTTCCTGACAATTAGAATTTATTCCATTCATAAGAACATTTCATAAAGAACCGATTAGCTTTAATCTTTCAAGTATTTTATTTAGTTTCTTATATTATTTTTTACCAAAAATCAAAAGAGCAGACAACGATGTATTGTATGCCTGTATCCCATTACATACTCCGTTTAATTTCTCACCATTTTTCTACGTTTATATTTTGCCAAAAAATTTGTTTAACCACAAACCAAATAAAACCCAAAGAATCCTAAAACCACAAACCACAAACCAAAACCAAAACCCAACAAAAAGGACCAGCACCAAGGACCTTTTTCTCTCTGGCAAATTGAGGTAGTAGGTTGTATAGTAGTACTTCAGATCGTACTATACAATGTGCTAGCTTTCTTTGCTTGACTATAAGCCTCATTTAAACAGCCCCCCACCCCCCCCAGCAACAGCCCAGCAACCCTCAGCACCAAAACAAAAAGTGTCGAATAAAAATATACAAAATGAAAATATACATACATATGTACATACAAAAGTGCCGCCTGCCTGCCTGCAGTAATGCGAAATTGTTCTTGAAATTGGCATCGATGCGGATGTCGAACTGCATATCTGAGATTATTGTATCTGCATAAACGTCCGAGTATCCAAGTATCCGAGTAGTCCCGAGTATTGGTATGAGTGACATGTGCAAATGTTTGTATGGCTGATTCCCTGAGACCCTAACTTGTGACTTTTAATACCAGTTTCACAAGTTTTGATCTCCGGTATTGGACGCAAACTTGCTGATGTTATACAAAAAAAAAAAAAACAAAAAAATAAGAGACAAGCAAAAATGAAAAAAAAAAACTGAATGATTACAGAAGAATCTGGATGTGAGTATGGGCGCAAAAGTAATAAGAAATTCATATTGGAGGTACATTTTTATTGAAATTGATGCACAAGTATGTGATTTTCCGTATGTGGTGGAATTTCTTGTAATTTAATGTTCAGCCCACAGTAAGATGCTGAAAGTGATTGATGGATGGATATGAATACAGTTAACTGAAAGGTTTTGTGTAAGTATTTCGAAAATACATTCCCATAAAGGTACAAATTTATGTAAATTATTCTAAACTTTGTGGTTTTTGTATTAATACTTGTTTAATCCACAGAAAGAGCAATACGGAACTGGATGGAAAGATCTGACAATGGCTAGCAGAATTAAAGTATTGGCTGGGAGAGCACGCTGCAGAGTTGGAATAACTTCTGGATAATAAACCATAGTGGATACAAATAGCTACTACCTGTTCCATTGACATTCCACACCAATCAACACACAGAGGAAGATCTGTTTGTATGGCTTCAAATTTAATAGGATGCATATCTTATATATTTATAAGATCACTGTCTTGTTTTATTTTCAAAGAGGATTGAAAATTGTGAATGATGCACAGCAAATGCGTTCATTTTAGATCAATTATAGTTATATTCCTACTAAGACAAAAATTTGATAGATTTTCTACGCCAAATGATAATTTTGATACCTGTCGAGAGTACAATGGTTGCAAATAAAATCAAAACAAAAACGAACTGTATAAGCATACGATTTTGTTTAAATAAATACTTTTCTAATAGTATTTTCCCACCCAATTGATTTAAATGATGCTCCAAAAACGTATACTTAATAACAAAATATTTATTGTATACCCAAAGATGGGCTAATATTCTCTCTGAAACCACACGCACACATATGTATGTAAAATAAACCAAAATATTATTTTTAATTGGCTTAACTACGATATCAACTACATTCTAAGTACTAGAGATACAATGTGAGAAAGTTGTGAATAAATTCATGAAAAAAATCGACTTTGATCTGAACAATTTCATTGTCAAGAGAGAGTACAAAATGTATAAAGATATACGATATACGATATAGATGTATTGGATTGGATTGGATTGGAGCGGAGCTTAGGGTTCACTGATGCGTGCACTTGTTGTCCTTGGATTTCTTTTTACGATCTTCACTTGAATTTGATCGTCGCGTACCCTGAATTGGCATGTAAGGCGGCGTGGGACTGGCACTTTGATCTGCAAATCGTATGAAATAAATATATGAATAAATAGTATAAAGAGTTCGCGGGGATCGTTTAAATACATATATACCGAAATTGCCGGATTTGGAGTATTTGATGTGTGGCGATATGTCATGATGGCCGCTGTGCAGGGAACTGTCATGGGATCCGGCCTCAGAACCATAATGTTCGGATCTAAAGGGAAATCAATTACAGGTCTCATCTATTAGATTCATTCAGCAAACGTACCGCGTCATGGAATTATTGGCCTGCAGCTGCTGCACTGTCTCCGCTGCCATGTGCAGCGATACGGGCCTCTGGCCAGGCCTACAATTATCCACAGGCAGTGTGTAGATGTCATCTTCGCCACGAGTGGCCGCCAGAGCGTGCCTTTGCTGTCGCTGCATGGAACTGTGATTGGAGGAGCCACCCTCACGGGTGAGGCTGCCATTTGTCAGGGTGCCATTGGGCTGCCGCTGCTCGCGGCTGCTGTTTAGGACATCTATGGGATTGGAATAGGCCTCCACATCGATGTCGGCAGTGCTGGAAAGGCAGTCTTGGGGTAGGGGCAGCAATGGCCCACAGTGGGAGTTTGTGCCGCACAGGAGACTGCCATTGGTGGAGGTGCCACCGCCGCATGCTTCCTTTTGTTGATTTTTGCGCAGACGAGCCTTCTCCTTGGCCCGCTTGGCTTTGGCTTTCTCCTGGAAGCAGATCAATATATATTATATTCTCTATGGGAGGTGTGCTGTGTATGCCTACCCTATCCTGCAGCATTTTGGCTAGTTCTTTGTCCTGTGCCTCAATGGCCAGCATACGATCCCGCTGCTCCTGACGCACACAGTCCTTGGATTCAATGGCCTGCAGGCGACGTGCCAGCAACTAAAAGTAAAGCAACAATATGAGCAACATTTAGACCAGCACAAAGCCAGCGAATATATGTATACCTCATCTTTCTGCTCCTGCTTGAGCTTCTTGCTCATCTCCTGTATCTCCTCCATGGGCAGTCCGATCTCGCGCAGACTCGCATAATCACAGGGATCCACATAGAGCTCAATATCATCCGCATGCTGTTGCATATGCCGTTCGGCTGCCTTGGCGGCACCAGCAACGTCAACGGCAACGGCACTGCCACTGCCACTGGCACTGGCGCCCAGTCCAAAGTTCCCCACCAGCTGATCGTATTTCTCTGGTGACAATTTCTGAAATTTTGGTTCAGTTCTTAGGAGATTCTCATGTGAGGGTGATCGCTGTTTCTGTAAAGGTGTTGCAGCTGCATCGACAACATTGAGTGGGGCTGCTGCAGCTGCCTCCTCTTCGGGTGCTATTATGTTGTAGTTGCGTATGCTGTCGGCAACATCGGCATAGTCCACCAGCTCATCGATGTCAGCCGCCTGGAGCAGTGCAGTGGGGTGGTGTGTGGGTGAGTGCTGAGCTATGGATGAGGTGGAAGTGGAAGTGGGGGTGCTGGGCATGTTGGATGTTGTTGTTGATGATGATGGCTCATATACATGACGACGTGCCGCCGATGATGGATATTGAAAACGTGACTGATGTTGCTGCTGTAGCTGCTGCTGCTGCTGTGGCAATGATGTGGTGGCATCACTCACCAACAGCTGATGATTCTGTTGTGCCTGTGCATGTCTACTGGGTGTGGTGCATATTACGGGTGGTGTTGCTGCTGCTGCCGCTGCTGCTGGCATATCTACAATATTTGGTATAAGCGATAATCCTACATAGTTGTCGGTCTGTGAGAAATGTTGCTGTTGAAGCTTCAATGGTTGTGACTGCAGCTGCTGCTGCTGCTGTTGCTGACTCTGATATCTAGCCTGCTGTGATGTGCACGGCTCTGGATGATGGCCATTGGTCTGATGCTGTTGCAGGTGTATACTTGCTTTGGCTGGACGCGGCGGTGGACGGCTTTTGTCGCGTGTGGCAGGCGGCGGCACAGGTGGCAGATTCACATAGATTTCCTGCAAGTCAATTAAAGTTTTTAGGGTAGTAAAAAAAAACCCTAAGGGAATCTGCTCTCACCTGCATTTTCTGGGCAATTATTTCGCTTTGTTGCAGCTCCTTTTGCTGCTGCTCCTGCAGATCATGCTCCAGCTTGTCAGCAATTTCTTTGGCCACACGCTTGTCATGCTCCTCTCTGGGAGAGAGTTAATAGTTAACTAAGAAACTGTTGATGGGTGTCATCTGTGTACTCACTGTTCTGTCAGACGTCTCCGGTAGGCCTCCACCTGACGCTGTGCCTGCTCCTTCTCCTTGATCTGCTCGTGCAGCGCTGTGGGGAAATCCTCACGCACCATGCCATTCCTGTAGCGATTTCCCTTGTAGAAGTCATTAACTGGGGGAAATCATAACCAACGTTAGCCATACATTTAGTTGGATTAGATCTGTAATGGGTTGTTCTTACTCTCTTGGGACTGCAGCTTGTAGGCCAGGGCGCCGTCCTCACGCACGAGCCACTCCTTGCACACTGCGGAAATGATAGGAAAAAAAAACGTCTCTGTTGAATCACCTTTCTTTATGGATGCGCGCGCTTAATTACAGTATCTAATGACAAGTGATATACGCAGCGGCTATCAAATAACCAACCGAATCTAATGAAGCCCCGCAAGATCATAAAGAAAATCATCTGTAAGAGTCTGGAGTTGGAGTTGCTCCACTTGTGGGGCACTGCACGACACGATGAGTCACGTCCGAGTTGCATTCGGGACAGACCAGACCTCCGCTCCAAACAAAGAAATTCCATTGAAGATGGGACTGCATTTTGATCGATTTAACCAGCCGTAGAGCGATCTCCGCTCGCTGATAAGCGAAAGCGTGGTACAAATTTACTCTTAATTGTGTGCGTGTGTGTGTGTGTGTGTGTGTGTGTGTATGTATGTGTGCGTGTGTGTGTGTGTGTGTGTGTAGAATTTTGTTTGGGGTTCGCCCTCGTTTTTAAGTCTGAACAGACCCCAGCAATTGGATGCGTAGACGGGTTCGGTGTCTCTCATTTATCATTTCATTTCCTAGCCGGGGAATCTCTCTCTATGTCTCTCTCTCTCTATGTCTCTGTTACTGTCACTCGAAAAGTGGAAGTGTGGCAAAGTGGGTTGCCCTGCTGATTGCTTGTAGTTGGTATTTTTGAGTGTGTCTTGTTATCGGATTGATTGGGAAATGGCCTGCCTGGTATCTGGGCAGCGACTTGTACAATGAAAGTTTTTTTTCTGATTGACAACAGGAAATTTGGTGGTGTTCTTTTGGGCTTAAAGTTGTTTAAGGTGCCAGAGGAGGCTCTGCCTTTGGGTTTTAGAATATTTAAATAGGGTTTCTTCTTTTGAAAAATTCAAGCAAAGCGATGAGCCATGAGGGGAATTTAAATATTTTCTCGGCTACACTTTTTGAGATTTTTTCATGAATTAAAACCAAAACACAGAATATATTTTATCAACTATTTGGTTCCTATAATATTTACAAATTTTGTAAATTTAAAATTTATTATATGTCTGAATTGTTATCTCCATTTTTGATCTATGATTTTCAACTTCATTTATAATTTTATGGGCATTTTGTGCCCTCCTTAAACTATTCTGAACTTCCCACAATCATGTCGACTGCATTTCCTTCCTTATGAATGGGGCATAATTTCCTTATCTACAAACTCAGATCCCCCCATGGGGTATCTCTGCCTTAATTTAAAGGTTCTTTGACTCAAAAACTGTCAACTGGCAATTAGTTGAACTCTGACCGTAGATTTCAGCGCTCTCTCTGTCGAGGGGGGGCAATTAGAACATTTCCACTCTAGATGAATTATGGGTCAGGCTGTCGGGGTCTCTGCCCTGCCTCCTGACTAATGCATTTAGTGGCGGCGATTTCACTTAATTAACTGCAATTTGAACTGAAATTGCAGCAGTAGAGGGAATACTGAAAAACCAGAAGCACCGCAGAGCAGAAAATACAGAATAATGCTGTGGCGTCAAACTGGCAGACATAATCAATTTAGTTGTTTGATTTCCGACTGCACATAAACACAGATATACGGGGTGGGCAGGCACATAAATAAACATATACCTAAAGAGTACCCAAAGAGGATCTCTCTCTTTATATGCATGGGCATGCAAGAATAAAACACAAACACAACAACAGCAACAGCAACAAAAATTGTATCTTGTGTCGGTGCATAAACTGAAACACAAAGTATCTGTTTTTTTTTTTTTTGCATTCTGTGCTGCTCCGCCTGCTCGCCGTGGTGCTGAGTGGTTCGGCCTGATTGCTCAGCTCAGGTTGCTTTACCCTACACCACCTCTGCCTCCTATCCTCCACTGCACTCCCTTCTCTTAACACGGTCTATACCCTAGACCGAGTGTATGGTAATTTTAGCCAGTAGTTTGCATTGAATCTGTAATGCAGACAGGCATTTACGACAACAAATCAATCAATGGGCTAAGGCTTGTCTGTCTAGTATCTTGGATTATGGCTTCTTTGATGCATTGATATTCAATTGATATGTGCCAGAGATCGTTATTTTAGTTGTTGGAAGTGTATCGCTATTTCATCAGGTTTTCATAGGATTGATTGATCTTTAAATATGTTTCAGATAGTGACATTCAAATTGTTTCTATTCCAGCTCTAAAAATGTCCCATAAAATCAAAGAAAATATAATTTAATTGCATCACTATATAACCCTTCTTGTCCATAGAAATACTAAGAAAATCATATTTTATTTTTAATTGAAAAAAAATCAAACTTCTTGCATAAACATTTTGAGTGGCTTTGAATATTCTCACAATTGTAATATTATAATCACATAGCATATATCCATGCTGTCATTTTTGCAGTAAAAAGGGTTCTTAAATCAAGTCTTGTTTGTCAGGATAAAGGCAGTAAATCACACACAATTAAAGTCGTATAATATGCATTACTTTACTGCAAATTACTATGGCAAAGTTTACTATTTATTTCTGTATGTTCTGCCATACGAACAAAGGGTCGTAAATCTCGTTTTTGAGCGAAATAACTTTATGGTTTATTTTTTTTTGAGTTGAATAATTTCAAGAATGTCAAGTGTCAGCTTTAGGAAGACTATAACATAGAACAGACATGGGAATGATGGAAATGGCAATCCCTTAGATGTTTTAAATCTTCAAGGATCTAGGCTGTTATTTTCTCTACGTTTCATTTGTTTCTCTCTCTCTCAACTAACTCAGTAGTTCAATAGAACTAATGTTTATATTTGCCTTTCGAGGGTGCCCACTGCTTCGGCTGGCAAAAAACTATCCCCCCTCCCCAGTCCCCGCCTGTTGTGTTATACGAGAATTGTGCTTTCAGCATATTGCTTACAAAGTCGTCTTGTACGAGAACTGCGAGTTGTACATATATAAGCTCATGTGTGAGTGTAAGTTTCTTGTTGTTCTTTCGTCTCTCTCTCTCTGCGCTTTTGCCTTATAATGCCCCCCCCCCTGACAAAGCGCAGCTTTTTATTATGCACAACGGGCAACCGGCAAAAAAAAAAAAAAATTATACAACAAACAACAACAACAAGAGGGAACAAAAAACAAAGAAAATTTGTGTTGAAATTGACTTACTGTACTGCATACGCTGCCCGTTAAATATTGCTTCGCTTTGCGCTTTATGTATTTAGGTGGAAATGGGTAGAGGAAATGGTCGGGTCGCAGCAGTAAAAACAAATTGTGTTGCAAATATGTCGATGGAAAATTATGGTTCTTTATGTCATACGAATCGCACTACAAATTCGGAATTCCTTCGATTTCCTGCTTCCTCGAACCCCACTCATTGAGCATTCTGGCCCAGACTTGCCATGACAGCTGATTTATTCGTTTTGCGGGGGAAAATAATATATAAAGTAGAGGGCATGCCTGCCCCTGGAACGGGTTTTCGCCAAAAAAAGAACAGTTAACCTTTGCACAACCCACAAAATTCACACTACACAATGGAGTGGGGCGAGGCGGTGTGTGGCGGTGCAATGTGGGTCACCAAAAAGTATTTTATTGACTTGACCAAAACAAAAAGCGATCTGGGAACGGGTTAGTAAGTCAGCAATGCCGTCAGTCAGCCAGTGCATGCGTCATTGGGCTTTGGCTTTCCGAGAATTTCGTCAATGTTTTGGGCTGCGATCAGGTGGCAGGGGGTTTGGGGGAGGTCGATTAAAGAGAAGTCAGCTGTGTGAAGGCTGATCGACAGTTTAAGTAGAGAATGCCTAAAGAAAGGGGTATTTTTAATGGAAGATTCTTCCATTATAAGCTCAGAATTCTTTATAAAATTTAGCTGAAAATATGCAATAAGATCTTGTGATCATGGATACTTATTATATTATTTGTATGCCACAGGAAGAGTTTCTTTTTCGCTAGGTTTCTTCCATGAATATGTAACACAAAACTTAGAAGAATTTCCAGCAAAAGATGAACCAAATATGCAGTGGCATCTTAGGAAAGAAACTTCGCAAGGAATTCCTTTTCAATGGGTTCCTGGAAAATGTAATTGGATGTATCAGGAATTTTCTGTACGATTGAAATACTTATGGAAACATAGCATTATTAATTGGAACTTCTCTGCTTGCATTTATGGGTTGAATATTATTTTTTTAAAGATTTTATTGGTTCCATAAAAAGTAAATTTTATAGTTTTCCCTTTGGAAACAATAACCACACTGCTCTTAAATAAACAGCAATCGTTTGGAGAACCACCCTTGACCATTCTTCAATTGAGTTTAAATCAATTTATGGCCCTGAACAATTGATTGGCAACTGCTGCCCATCAATTGGGATAAACTTTCATGCAGTGCAACCTCAACAAATTCGATGCCATTCATTCAATTAACCTTGCTGGGCATTCGATTACAGTTCAGAGAGCCCAAAAGCCCACCGAGAGCACAAGAGCCAAGAGCCAATAGCCAAGAGCCAAGCGCCAAGAGTTCTGCCAGCCATCAAGTCGAGTGACTTGGCCCTTTGGCACTTGCCAGGCTTCACGACCATACTATATTGCACACCTCTCTCTTTCGCATTTCTCTGATTCTCACTCTTTCCCTGACCGAGCAGCAGCAGCAGCAGCACCCGCAAGCAACCAAGTTCACATTGCTGTCCATGCATGAATGGCTCTCTGATCGCGTGAAGAGTTACACAACCCCAAAATGGAAATGGAAATGGATATGGATATGGAGATGTGCATTGCATATGCATAAAATCTGAACAAAAAGGAGGAAAACAAAAAAAACTATAAACAAGTGTGGAAAAGCCAAAATTAGAAAGCAGTTTGACGGGAAAATTTACGATAGCCAGGAAAAAAAATTATATGTATCGTTTGTGTGTGTGTGTGTGTGTGTGTGTGTGTGCGCAGGGGAAAAATGTTGTTGACGCTTGCATTGATTAGCGACGAGTGCAACCGAGGCAGGCGACTACTGCAACAAAAACAACAGAGAGAAATGAGAGCCACAAAGAGTCGAAGTTGCAGATACACTAAAGGGTACATCCTTTGAATGCTGGGTATACGATAGGTGATACGATATTGATCACATATTGTGCTCTCTGAAGTTCTGTTGGATTATCTACAGAAAGAACTATAATTTTCCCTACTTGTAATGATATTTTATCGATCTCCAAGGCTACTTACTTACAGAACTAGTAATCCGATCTTAACGTTCTTAACTTAGCTACAGCCTTGGACTTAAATTATTCATATCAACTTAGGGGACTAGCTATCAGTAAAGCAAACAAACAGATCCCTACAATATCCACCACTACTTTAGATCTTCGAATAGGCTAGCTTTTATGTGTGCAGCCAACATCTGCTCATAATGGTAATACCCTTTGCCAGAGCATAACAATGAAGACGCGGCGCCGAAAGTGGAAAAACCTGACTCAAGGTTGTTGAACATGCCACTGGCAAAGAGCAGCAAACGATGGCATGGCGGGATGATGGCGACCAGAAATGTGGCCTGCAACGCCAACAATGTTGACTATTTGAATGTTGCATCTGACAGATACAGATACACAAGAGTGCATGCACCACGAGTGTGTGAGTACATATATATATATATATATATATATATATATTACATTGACCTTAGCCATGCCACAACATGATGATGGGGCAAATAAATTTCATTCAAATGAACTAAAGCCAAAGTTCAGGTTCAGGTTCGGGTATCGGTTTTCATTGATTGATTGAATGGACTGGCCCACTCACAGCAAACACTCATCAGATCAGGAAAGAAAAACAGAGCTTATGAATACCACAGACATTCGTTATGGCCACAAGAGAATAGCCAATAATTGTCTGCCTGAGTGTGGCTGTAACAGACGGAATCCCAGAAAATTAGCTTAATTTTTCAGAGCCATGGCAAATACGAGTATCTCAAGCGTTTACTCCAAAAACAAAACCAAGAAATACAAATATGAGTTATGCTAGACGACGACGACGACGACGACAAGCTTTCTCTTGGCTGATGGGTAGGAAGTCAGCCTATTAAGGTGCCGGATAATTGTATGTTATTTTTGTAGAATTTACTCTATAATCTCAGTCGGTAATTATACACAAATATAAGTATGTGTATGTGCCTTTTTATTTGCACAAGGAATATGGAATATGTACTATATATATGGGAATATTTGTTGTGTACTTTGATTTAATATTTGTTTAAAAAGGTTTGGGTTCACTTTGTGAGCTAATTAATTATTGAATAATTCAATTTAAGCCAATTATATTTACATTATTATATTTTTATTGATATGATAGCTGTCTAAAGCAGTCATATGAAGAATGTTAACTAAATAATCCAGCAGATGATGACTAAAAGTCTTTTTTTCATTTGCCTAAAAGTCTCTCTAAACTTTGCCCCAATGTCTATGCAAATATTTTGCATGAAATCCAGCCAGTATTAAGTGCCACAGGAGTACCACAGATGGCAACTGCAACACTCTCCAGAATCTACATTATTTTTGGCATCTTTAAAAGCTGTTTTATAGGCCACAGCAAGTCATGACAAAGCAGCCACAGAAAGTGTTTCAGAAAGGTGGAGAGCCATCGGGCAACGGCGGGCAGGGCAAGGGCAACGGGCAACGGGCACCGGGTTTCCTTTAAGTGCTATCCACCATAGACATGTTGAGAGCCAAATCCAAATGGAGGAGACCTCTTTCCTGGCACTTGCACATCCTGTCATCGTTGCTGGCAAGTGAATCATTCTTGGCATGCAGCGGCAGCAGAAAAAAAAATAAAAAAAAAAAAAACGAAGGAAAGAAAGAAATAAACTGCATTCAGGCATCGAGCCCGGCTGCTCGTCATGCAACTGCTGCTGTGGCAGTGGATGTGGCTGTGGCTGTTGCAAAAGATCTCTCTTCCTGCCCCCACTAGCAGCCCTCTCCACTTGTCAGTCAGGGCAGGCAAAAAAAAAACCAGAAGGAATCATAGAGCAGCGTATACGGACTAAGGGATACCGGGTACTGCAATTTCGGAACTATGGAACAGGTGAAGGATTGTGAAACACTCTTAAATCAAGAGAAGATATATGTGTGGGTTATAGGAACTCTGAAGAGGAAGATTCCATCATTTATGGCAGACTAGAACCAACTTTATCTGTCTTTAATTTCTAATAACGTTTTTAGATCAAAGTTTGCTGACTTCTGTTGATCCCGCGAAAGAGTCAGAATATCAACTGGCACCAAACACACAATATACCCCGTATTCCCTCGGATAATGGGGTATCAAAAGAGGCCAGCAAGCAGTTAAGTTTTCAGCTTGAATCGGGAGGGAGGGAGGCCTGCCTGATGGCTATTCCAAAACCGAGGGCTGCCGCTGCCGCCTTTGTGGGGGTCTTTTGTCATGCGTGCTTGGGCGCAAATGAAGCGGCGGCAATCCCCTCTTCTCAGCGTCAGCGTCAGCTGTTGCCTATTGCACGCGCTGTGCTGCAAGTATCTTAAAGATACAAATACCTTGCCATGCTCCGATCCGCTTTGCCTTCTGCCTTCTGGCATGCCTGCCTTTTGCATGTCTAGTCATTAAATGGAAAGTGCTGGCGGCAATCATTTTTTTGCACCTCAAAATACAAAACAAAACTTACAGTATATTTTCCCTTTCTGTTTGTGGGATCTTGCTCTTTCCCCCTGTCTTTCTCCTCTCTCTCTCTCTCTCTATCGCTCACTCAATGTAAACTATATAGCAGCTCGGCATTTGTTTATTTTTCAACTGAAATTTCTTCTTCAGAGCCCTGTCCGCTGTCGGTCTTCGGTCTTCGGTCGTTGGTCTGTGGTTTCCTCAGATGTTGCTGTTGCTGCTGCTGCTGCCGCTGACTGGCAGTCTTTGTTTCTGTTTATCGTCTCATGAAGACTTTCAAAACCAAATTCGAGTCGGAAGCCCCCAAAAAAGGGTAGCAGCAGCCGCCGCACACAAACACACGGGGCAACCTTTCTTATGACTCTCGAGAAAGTTTTTTCATCTGGTTCGCCGCTGCTTTGTGTGTTTTTGTGTTTGTGTTTTTCATTTTCATTAACATAACATTAAAAATTGTGTCGCTGGAGATTTGCACACAACCTTCAGGGGCATTTCGTAAATTTTCAATCAAATTAGGGCTTATTCAATCTAAGAGCAGGCGGGGGGGGTTTTCATGCTGTAACCACATGAAAATATGCAAATGGGGGAATACTCTTATTGTGTGGGAGATTACATCAGAAAAGAGTTGGGGAAAAGGCTGAGGCTTTGAGTCTGGATTTGCGATAAATGGAAGAGAATTTGAACCCTCATTCGAATAGTAGAATGTAAGAGGAATATGCTACGAATAAGTTCCGTCTCTTCTGTCAGTCATAGTTAACGCGGGATAAACGTGTTATAGTTCTTTCATTAAATATAATAATAATAATAATTTATACTACATTTCCTCGAATTAACATTCATTAACGTACATCAAATATAGGGGAAACATTGTGGCAAAATATCATATGCATAACTTTGAATATTCATTCATTAATGTGTGTTGGCAGAACGTGCTCCAGAACACTTTGTTTACATCTGAATCATCACGAATAGCATTCAATATTGTGGCGGTTCATTTGAGCTTGAAGACGAGTGTCGACTGACGACGACTCTTGTGGGGAATAAATAGTTCCGGGAACTCTTTATGTTTGTTTTGGCTGATATCAAGGGAGCGATGAAGCAGGCGGGGTAGAACATTATGCTGAAGGGGAATTCTGGCAGAGCTGAAATGAATCAATTTCGTATCTGTTTCGAACTCGAGCTCGAATCAATTCCCAATTATCTAAGATCCCTTGGCTGGAAATTGTCCATGTTCAAGCAATTTGGTATTGGGTTTCGGTGCTGTTCTGCTGCTCCCTTTTGCTTACCCTCATTCAGGCAATTTTAGACCATGCTTACCCTCATTAACATGTCCCGATCGGGGCAGGGATTCCTTTGTGGCAGGAGGCGGTGCGGCGGCTGTTGTGGTTGTGAAATTATTCATCTCTCTCGTCGTAGTTGTTTTTGTTGGTTTTTCTCTCTATTTATCTCCGGTCCTCTCTCTCTCTCTCTCTATCTCTCTGCTTGCGTTTGTATACGCGAAATTTCTCTCTCGATCTACGAGTTTTTCTCTATCGCAGCATTCAGAACAGGATACTGGCAGTCTCAATGCAGATCCAATGTAAAATTCTCTGTATTTTGTCTCTATTTCAATTCTGATTCTCTCTCTCCCTCTCCCGCTCTGTATCTGTTTTCTATCCTTTTAAACAGGTGTTTAATTTATGAGCTCAAGGACGGACGAATTCCTGCGCCTGGTTCTTGTTTTGCTGTTGTTTTTGCTTGTTGAATGCAGCCGCGCCTTCGCTTCCACTTCCACTCGAGTGGATTGCCAATATTTCACTGATTTCTGGTTTGGGTTTCCCTTGGTTTACTGTTTGAAGCGGTCACTCCATGCATTAAATATATGAATTTAAATTGCCGGAGTTTCAGCTATTTCACTTTCACACTTCCACACACTCACCACACGGGGGGAAAAACAATTTTCATCAACTATCTTTTTATGAACAACACACAACACACGACACGCGCGCAATCCGCAACCAAGCGGCAGCTGCAATTTCAATTTTTCGTATCTGATGGAACAGAACGCACTCGAAGATACGCGTCGGACTCAATCGACGAAGACCGGCGACGGCGGCGGCCCTGTCTCTGGCTTTGGGGCGGCTGTGGGTCTGATCGAAACGCGTCCAACACACAACTCATTCAACAGCGAAAGCCGCTCAACAAATGCTCAAAAGTGCTGCCACTCTTGGATGTATCTGATGGATGGATGGCGGCTAAACAACAATAATATTTCCATGGCACCACGAGAGAGCGCAAGTCACCTCAAAAAGGAGAGAGAGAGTGAAACCCACCACACAATTTGAGAGAGCTAAAATTAAAAAAACAACTGGGTATGGATGGTTTGATACCCTATGTTCTTTAATTTACTCTAAAATTGAAATGTAGTATATTCTAGAAAGCGGCACAGAGTGCGAGCTAAATGTTATTTAGTATCAAAGCTCTTGTGGGAATAATATCATTAGATATTTTATATTACGAATATAGTAAATTGTGGATATTGATTAAATGTAACAGCCCCAAAAAAACCCTACAGAAAACCGTTCCACGGTAACTACACGTTCGCTACATATCAACTAAATATTGTGCAACTGGAATGGGATACTTTTTGTATACAAAAGCGGAATGCAATGGAAATAAACATAAATGCACTGGGAGAAAGAGAGATGGAGAAAAATAATGCTGCAGACAGACAGAGAGAAAGAGAGAGAGAGAGAGAGAGAGATGGAGAGAGAGAAATAACAACAACGAGAGAGAAAAACTGGAAGTGGTGGCTTCAAAGTAAAAAAAGTGCTGCCAATCACTTAAAGCCGTTTAAATTCCAACATATTTAAATTAAATAAGTTAATTCTTTTGTTTCTTATGTTTAATAAACTGTTTTGTATTTATAAATTTTAAATAATTTCCGTGTAGCTTATGCTAGAGTTTCTTATATTTTTAAACATTTATTGTACAATTTACATTGGAAGCAATGGGGCAGCACATTAGCCGAGACACCAACCATTAGCATATATCCAAACCATACATTTTACTGCCTCTCAAAACAGGTTTTCAAACAATTTTTATATTTAAGGAGTCAACAATAATTTTGCTCGCTGGAATTTGTGTACACTGCGATAAATTACTAAATATTTATTCATTGGCAATTTTTCTACATTTTACATACCAAATTTTGTTGCTTGTATTTTCTCTTTTATATAAAAATTTAAACGAAAAATAGAATTATATTTTCTAAATTAATTTTCATTATTTTTGTATACACTGCGGCTTTACAGGAACATACTGATTCGGGAAATTCATCCGATGGATATGTAGCTTTAATTTTCACGCACAGGTGATATAATTTTCCAGCACAAAAGATTATTTCCTTGAGTGTAGTTCTCTACTCAATGTTGTTGCAATTGTTACTGTCTGACATCAATTGTTTATATTTATAATTCATATTTACACGACTTTTCAACAACTTGTACGTGTGGCTAGCCCCCATTGTGAAGTTCCAAAAGGCATGGAGTAGTATTTGCGCTTTTTATGATTCTATGGACTGGCATGTTGGTAATTTGATAGATTTTTATAAATAAAAGATGTTGACAGCCGTCTGGTTGTGCTCTGATAAGCTGCTGGGTAAATAAACAACTATGGATGGGCGCAAAAACTCACTCTATGCGCGTAGAGTGAGCATAATTCAGTCTTCAATTACTGCCCAGCCCAAACGCTGCTCAGTCCACCCATTTGTCGCTGATCTTAACCCTTAATAATGGAAATACTTTAAAGATTATAAAACTGAAGCCGGGTTCAAAGTATGCGGCTGACTCCAAAGCCAAACTATGTACGCGTATGTATGCATGTTCCGACTCAAAACAGAAATCAAACACACAGATACACCCGCATACTAGTGTGGGCCCATGTGGCCATATCGGTTACCTGCTACGGCCACAGACTCTGAGCGCTCAATGGAGATACTAGATACACTGGGGCAAATGGCATGACGTGCCGACACACACTGATACACAGCTACAGCTACATCGAAGTGAGAAAAAGGTAAACAAGAGTCAAATTCAATGCGTACTCCTTGCATTCGTATGGGTAGCGTAGCTCTGAGTATCTGAGTATCTTGGTAACACACCGACCGAACGATCGGCTTTTGCTGGCCAGTAACGAGTTGAGTGTGGCTCAAACGAGTCGAACAAGCGGATGACGAAAAAAAAAAACAAATCTTTGAAAAGTGCAAGAATTTGTGTTCAATATTATAGAAAGTTTCCAAGCAAATAAATTTCATAAAAACAATAAAAAAAAGTGCAGCTACAGAAAGTGTGAAAATGTGTCTAAATTGTTGGAAAAGTTGATGGAAAATAGACTGAAAGTTGGCCAAGATAAACTCGTTTTGCACACACACTCACACACAGATACGCAGCTACGCACACCAGTGCACCCACAGCAAACAGACGCTGGGAGTCTGAAAGCCAATAACAATTAAAATAAAAGAAGTCAAGTCGCCGCGTTATTGGCTTATGAATCATACATTGAGAAAATAACTTCCAGCAGAGAGCTTCCTTCGCTGACTGGCCCGGCCAGGCAGCTATGTAAACTGCAGCGAACCACAGCAGCGGAAATAAAACAAACAAATCACCCACTCACCCACTCAGCTAATCAATCCAATCCAATCAATCAATCGAAACCGCTGCACATGTCTGGCAAGGAAATGCGTCCATTGTCGCTATCCATAGGCGCCTCATTGCTGCCCAGCTTTTCGCTGGTGACGGCCTCACATGATGGCGGCCTGCCCAAGGATTGCCATGGCAAGATCTGCGATCCAGTGGAGCAATTTTGCTCAGTATTCAGTGAGGCCTGCGAAAGCTGTGCCACCATTTGTGATGCCAAATCCCACAACTATCAGGCCGAAGCATGCGCCAAGGAGTGTTCAGGCAAGTGTAAGCGAAAGGTGGGGCAATCATCCAGTTGGTATAGTACTTTAGTCAATAACTAACTGCAGTTATGGGTTTTCCCAGTTGGAAACTTAGCTTAAACTGTAATTAATGTGATTAGCTCATCGCTGATGAGTTGCTCAAATATAAATGTTAAGCAGCTGGGAGTTGGGGGCATTGTAAGCAAATCTTTGCGGGTATTTTTAGATGGCAGTTTGTACTGTGGGCACAGGTTTTTGCATAGCATAAAGTGTGAATGTTGGCTATCAAAATAAAGACCCGCTAAATCAAAAGTAAACTACAAGCAATACTGCTGTAGATAACCAATCTTCCATGATTCTGATTCATAATCTAACTTTTGGTCTCTCTCCGAACCACAGCGTACAACAGATACGAACCCCTCAAGGCGGAAATCCACAATATACAGAGCAGCCAGAAACTGATTCTGCTCCTTCTGACCATACTCCTCGTCCTGATAGCCATACGTTATGCCTACAAGGGCCTGCGCTGGCTGCTGCGCAAGAGATGCGTCCAGCAGAGGCTGCAGCGTTATCAGACCAAGGCCTATCCGCATCCGGGGACGGCTAATGGCAAGGATCTCCATGCGACGACCATACAGAATCTCAGTGCCATTCGTCACGGCAGCGACATTGAGCGGGCGCCGTCACAGATCTACAGTGTGGCTGGTAAGTGTAAGGACCGATCTACCTGACATTCCCAGAAGAGCGAAAGGCAACTCATTGATATTTTTTTTGTTTGTATTGTTATTTGCAGGCGCTGCCGAGGGCTCAGTGCTGACACTGACGACACCGGTAAGCACACGCTACCCGGCCGAAAACAGCACCACTCCGACTACGGTGGTGACTGAAATTGGCTATGGATACGATAATCAGGCCATGGTTGTGACGCCGGTTTCCGAGAAGCCCTCAACTGCCACAACGGCTGCTTTCTAGACCTCCCCCTCCTACCGCTACGGCAACAACATTGCATTGTACTTGTGACAAGCGAAAGCAAGATGTGCATCACATTGAAACTAGTGATATTTCGTAGAGAATTAAGCAAAAAGTCTTCGAATGATATTGAAAATACAGCAAAACAATAATTAGTTATAGCCTTAACCGAACTTGTACAGTTTAAATACAGGTGTACGTAAAATTTTAAATGTTCCCCCGATTTTTAAATTCACCTTCAAATTTGGCGCCCATCAATGGCTGACAGTTTGCTCATAATTGCGTTACAACCAGCTGGGGAAAATTAATGAAATGAATACCCTGAAAAAATGGATATTATCGTATTGAGGTTTTAAAGCAGCTTGGAGCAATAAATTGAACATTAGTTAAAGTAAATGGGGTATACAAATGACATACGTATAACTGAAACTTGATTGACCAGCAACTATGGCGTCACATTCCGGTACACACTTGCTTTGGCCGTTTTGGTTTGACCTTGTTATTTAAACAATCATAAAAGCAGTTCTGTAAACCAACCAATCTTGTATAGAATTTATTGGTGTATTGAATAAAATTATTTGTTTGAAATTAAAAGGGCTAACTAGCTAGTCATATTAAATCGAATAGCAAAATCGAGGAATATCAACGCATCTTGTCGTGTCCGTCAGAATATTTACGGTATATTTTAATATTGACAAGTGTATATTTTGGGAATATTTCTGAGGGTCTGGCGGTATATTTGATCGATAAGTCCACGGTCACACTGCCCAGAATTTTCAAATTCGGAATTGAAACTTGCGCGCGCAAATGTTGTAAACATTGTAAACAAGTGAATTTTTGGCTTAAAAGTATTGTCATTTATTTAAATAAGTATTCCATGTTGGCAAACACAATGCTAGGGCTAATGTAAGTTGGCAAAAGTGTCTTAAAACTAGTTGTTGAGTATAACTCTCGCGCATGCTGCACCCTAATTTCGACATAAAAGTACATATATGACACTCCAGATAAGATATGTGCGTAAGTATGTATATAATGTATAGTGGTATCAAATGCTTTGCTAACAAGCTTAACAAGTCTGTCCGTATCCTAGAGTTGTGCGAATCTCATAAATCAGCCTTCAACTTACGCCTAAATAGAGTACGGTATATATAAATATCCTAGGGACTAATCGTATCTGATATCTGAACAATCGCTTAAACCCAATACTGATTGCGTCGCAGCAAGGGATTCGTTGGCGGTGCCGAGGGCGGGGAGCTGACTGAACCCGAAATGCTCTGCGGCACAGAGGCATAGCCCGCAAAATCGTTGGCCATGTCGCAGGACGAGCTCCAGGCATCGTGCTCCAGGTGATAGGGATTGTAGCGCTGCGGCAGCATCATCTGCTGAGGATCGCACTGGTCGTCGGTCTCATCCTCATCCGGATCGTAGTCGGGAAACTCGTGCTTGTACGACTCCACGGGTATGATCTTGCAGTGCGGGATGTTGCTGAAGCCGGGCAGCGGCGTGGAGTTCCCTGTGGCTGGCACTGAGTCCGCCTCGGAGCTGGCATAGTGATGGCTGCTGTGATGGTGGTGATGGTGCTGCATATGATGCTGCGGACTCACGGAGGTCAGATCCGGTGGACAGGGCAGGGCAGGCGGCTGATCCTTCGATATGTCCGCCTTGTGCTTGCGCAGTTTGCGCAGCTTAAAGATCAGCACGACAATCAGCAGACAGAAGATCAGGATAGCGACGGCACAGCCCACGGCCAGATAGTTAATGGATATCTCAGTGCTCCCCAGATGCACCGTCTCCGCTTCCTCCACGGGACTGCGATACTCTATGGTAACGGTGGCCTGTGCCGGCTGCACCGTCTTGATCAGCAGCTGGTAGTCGAAGCTATCGTTGTTGGCCTCTGTGACGTCCACAGATTCGTTGGGCACAAAGTAGACCACACCGCTGCGCAGGTCCTTGTACGAGAAGATGTTCCTCGAGCGCTCGTTTTGGCTATCGCTGGCGAGTCCCGTGCTGCGCATAATCTTTCGTATTTGGCCCGTGGCTGGCATTCGAGTGATGACAAACTTGGGATTGAATTTGTTCAGCTTCAGCGACAGCGGATTGTCATTGTCCAGTGAGGTGCAGAGCTTAACCCTGCCAGCACTCGCACTCGCACTCGCACTGGACTCGGCCTCGGTCTTCATGGCAATGTTGTTGATCTGTATGACGGGCTCCACGGCCATCACCACGTCCACCTGGGCCACATAGTTGCTGCCTGGGACATAGGCGCTCACCTGGAACGTGTCGTTGGACCGATTGAGATCCGTTTGCATGTAGCTGATCTGCGCCGTTTCCAGCTGCTGTTGGGTGAACCTCAGCGTGGGCTGATGCTTGAACACAATGATGCCATAGAGCGGGGAATTGGTGATGTTGTACGACAATCGCTCCACCTGCACATTCGTCTGCAGGCCAATGTGCTGCAGTTTCATGGGCGCACTCGTGGCCCCCTGTTGCACACTCACTGGCAGCTGAATGGGCGCTGCCAGCAGGCTGATTGGCGCTATCTTGATGGTAAATATCTCATAGGCCGCATTCGACTGGCCATCGGAGACAGTGAAGCAGAAGGTGGTCGACTGCGGCATGCCAAAGTGCACATACACAATCCGATCGTTGTTGATGTCCGCCTGGGTGAATTGATTCGAAAAGGCCAGCAGATCCTCCGCCTGGCCATCGTTGGTCAGCTTCCTGAGCACTCCCAGTGTGGGGCCGCTCATCACATCGTAGATGATCTCCTCGGGCGGTGTGTCCGCATCTTCGGTGAGCAAATCATTTCGTGTTATCGTTCGATTCTCACCCTCCACCACCACCATTTGCGGCAGATGGGTGATCAAATGGAAGGGTTGATCGTTGATCGGACTGATGGAAACGGGAATTGTCAGATTGCACAGGAATATATTGCTAAAGTGGGGGAAAACATATCGTATTACTGCCCGTAAATGTTTGCTTAACATATCACTTAACACTCACCCTTGCGTCAGATAGACAGACATCAGAATGGTATCCTCCAGCGTGTCCGAATGATCGTGTATGTAGTAGACCTTTTTCGTGAAGAAATCACTGGGATGGTATCGCTGTATTTGCTTGAACTCATGGCCCAGTCCTATGCTGCCATGTGCGGGCTTTTGCACGGCTTCTATGAACAGTTCGGGATTGTTAATGCCCGCGCGAGCCTTTAGATATTCGAGAATCTTGGAGAAATCCAGCTTAATGGGCACCGAGCCGCCTTCATCTACGCTGAGCTTTGAAACGGGCAGAAACCTCAACAGGCCACCCGATGACACCGATATTTCAATGTTAAACTTCTGATCCAACAGGCGATCACTTCGCTCCGCCACCACATCGAAGTAGAACGAATCATTGATGCGAAACTCCATGATCACAGCCGTGTGCTCGTAGAAGATGTGCCCATTGTCCACATCCGTTTGGGTAAATTCGCTGACTTCCTTGGTGAAGCCATTGCCCACATACTCATTCACGATGCGACCCAGACTCGGGGGCACTGTGATATTGTAGCGTATCTCCCGCTCCTCGTCGGAGCACTTGAAGTGCAAATGATCGCGCAGGATTTGCTTCTTTGTCAGCGGAAAAACATGCAAATTCTCATTGTGATCCGCGAGTATCTCAATCGGTTTTATTTCGATGCTCAGCAGCTGGGTGGTGGTATTGAACAGGCCATCGGTTACGACAAAGGAGAGCTCGTTCTTGCGTGAGTTTGAGTCGTGCATAAAGTAGATTTTCTCCCCATTGATTTGGCTCTGGGTAAACTGTTCGATTTTCTGTTGGGGTGCAGACTTTTCTGCCAAATAGCCGCCATAGATGTGGTGCACAATGTATGTGAGATTCTCTGGCGGAGTATCGTAGTCCTGGGCCACTAAGGAAAGGCATAAAACTTGCTATTAAGCCACCAAAAAGTTAAGTAATAATTGACTTACATAGATCCGTATTCTTGATGACATAACGACCTCCGTTCCACACTTGCAGACCGGTATTGGTGACCATCATGGGCTCCTCATCGTTCACGGGAACCACAGCGAATTCCAGCTCGAAGGGAACACTCTCCTTGTTCCTGGCCATGGCCACCAGGGTGATGGTATCCGTGGAGTTCTCACTGCCATTGTGCACGTACTGAATGGAGCCCTGTTCGAGTTGTTTCTGCGTGAACCGCTTGACCTTTGAGTTGCCAGCGAGTATGTGTCCAGCCGTTGGTGTTATGGTCACAATATACTCCAGTATCTTGCCCCGATAGTACTCCGAATAGGGCTGCACATCTGTGGGATTGAGCTGCACCGTCTTGCCCTCCACTACGGACACAATGTTCGAGTGCATGTACAGCTTCTCGGGTATGATGACAATCTTCAGCACTAGCTGATGCAGCCACGTGATGCCATTGGTGGCATCGAACACAAAGTAGTCCGCGGATTGATTGACACCCGCCTGAATGTAGAACATCTTTTCGGTGTTGACCGATGACTGATCGAACACCTTGCAGTTGTATTCATCGTCAAAGGACATGGACTGCATCTCCAGATAGCCATGCATGGGCGAGGATGTGACCAGGAAAGTAATATCCCCCGGGGATATATTGGGATGAACAACCTAAACGAGAAGTGTGATATTTAGCAGGGATTTAGCTGCAAGTCTGTGGCTTAACCCACCTCTAGTACATCTCTGGATATCAGCACACTGGTGGACTCCTCCACATACAGCGTGTGGTTCTGTTTGACCTGCAGGGGCTCCCAGTAGGCAGAGGGATATATGCGGAACACGACCTCTCCCTCGGCTGTTATGTTTTTGATGTGCACTCGATATCTGTTTTGGGTTAAAGGCAAGCTCTATAGACTCCTCCGAATATGGGAGATTCCCCGCTCAATTCTCACCTAACTTTGTCCATTGATGCAATTTCCGTATTCCAGTACACCAATCTCTCCCGCTCAATGTCCAAATGTGTGAAATTACTCAGGGAAGTGTAGTTGGTGGCCTTGTAGATCGTTGTACCGTTCTGTTCCAGATCTGTGCCACTCTGCTGTCTGCCCAGATACATGAGTATGCCGTAGGAGGGCGGCTTGATTACCTCGTAGTAGATCTCATCCAGTTTCATGTCCAAATTCGTTTCCAGCACAAAGTCAGGATTCTTGAGCACCACAAACTTTCCCTCTTGGGCTATGGAGGCATTGGTGGGCAGCATGGAGACAAATGGATCCGAGGCGAGGATCTCCAGTAGACCATTAACCTCATGCTGGCGATCGGTGACTATAAACGAGGCTGTGCCCGCATCGGGTCCCGTGTGCTGGAACATAATCCTACGATTCGCTATATCATCCTGACTGAAGCTGTCGATGTACTGTCCGGACTTGTAGAAGGCGCCATTTGTGCTCGACACATGGATGTAGTGGATGTCCGTGTGGTTGGTGTTCACATCGGCATCGAGGTACTGCAGCACCGTGGGATTGAGCGTGCGAATGCCGTTCCTAACCACATGAAAGACCCGCTCCACTGCCGTGCGATAGGGTTCGTTGTCGTTGACCAGCTTGATGCGCACTTCCATGCTGGACACAAACTGAAGGTCCGTCTCATCGCCAGAGAGGATGAGCAACTCAAAGCTGTCCTTGGTGGACTCCGTGTCATCGTGACAGTAGTAGATATCGTTACGGAAGAGCTGCTCCAGCGTAAACATATCCAGTGGGGTGGTTAGACCCGTCTGCTCGTCGTATTTGCAGATGACACCATGCTCGGGACTCGCCGACACCTGGAACTGCAGACTCTCGTAGATGTTGAAGCGGATGCCAAAGTGATTCTTGGTGATCAGTGCCCGTTCGCCCTCCTGCACTTGCAGCACTTCGCGGGCCTGATAGCCCAGCTTGTTGATTAGCTCATCGGGGGGTCTGTAGGCAATCTCCAGTGCTCCCTCCACATCATCGCACTCCGCCACAGAGACCACAAACTCCAGACGATCGCTGAAGCTGGAGTAGCTCGTGTGATGCGTCCTATACCGTATGCGTCGTTTGTCAATGTCCTGTTGGGTAAACGAATCCATTTGCTTGGCCGCCTTGCGCGATCCCTCCACAAAGATCCCCCCATAACGGGTCGGCTGGCTAATCTTGTAGATGACGCTGCGCGGGAAGCTGCCAATGGGTGTGGTGCCATAGGACAGCATCTCGTTGGTCAGCAGAACGTCCCGCGTCCCATTGATGGCAATCAAAGATGGACTGCTGCTGGTTATGCGAAGGCGCGTGAATGTGATGCGGAAGTCGAACGTTTGCGTGGTCACAAAGCCAAACGAGGCAATAAACTGTTTGTAGAAAGTGAAATCAATGCAAATTTATTGTCTACACTGTGCAACAGGAATGGCTTTTAGAAGAAGAGTACATATAGGAAATATCCGAATGGTATGGTAAGGGTTTGGGCTTGGGGAGGGGATAACTTTTCACTAATATAAAAAAAGTGAATGAAAGAATTTTGTAAGGAAAAATCCTATAAATTTCCCAACAATAACAAACAAAGTAAAACTCGCGGCGAGTATAAATTTGTTTCGTCACGCACAATACATGTATGTTGTTTTTTAGTTGCTTGGGACAGAGTCGCAGTCTGGCACAGCTAGGAATGGCTAGCGCCCTTTGCAAAGAATAATTTTCGCAGAAAGTCTTTCGCGTCATGCACACAATATGTGATATGTTTCTGTATGATTGGTAATTCTCTTTTAAATCATTCGCTTGTGCAAACGAGTCGTAAATCAATGTGCTCGTGAGGGAGCGAGGTAATTGGGAGTTTCTTTACCCATGAATGTTATAATAATTTCAATGAAACTCCCCAGCTAGAGATTGGTGTAGGGAAAATTCATATCTGTTCAACCTTGTAGCTTAGTGTTGGCCTTTTGCCCATTTATGGTCATGATTTGGTTTTTCTATTACGAGTCCGAGTACGAGCAATGAGTACACACCTTAAATTCGTCTTGCCAAGGGAAATCGCTGTTGTGCAGATAGCGTATGTGGCCGAGCAGCAGCTGGCTATCGCTGAACCAGTCCACGTTCACCCAGGAGCCATCAATCTGTCGCAGTCGCTGCAGCACTCCATGCTGCGGTGCCTTGACCACATCGTAGCGTATGTCTATGTGCTCGTCGACGGCATTGGTGCCAATCGAGAGATTCGCGGGCGTCAAGAGCAGCCAGCTCTTGTGGATCATGATCAGGCCCGTGTTGTTGACCAGCCGCAGCTCCAGGGGATGCACCGAGACGGGCAGATAGACGGTATCGCTCGTTTCGATGCCATCGGAGACATGCAGCTGCAGTTGATAGCTGAAGGACTCCGCTGTGGTGGAGTTGTACTGATACGAAACCTTGCCCTCGTTCACATCGGCCTGGGAAAAGGTCGATGTGGAGACGCCCCCTACCATGAAGCAGCCAAAGGCCTCTTGGGGCTTGGCCGAGGGCAGTATGGTGTAGATCAGAGTCTGCGGTTCGCTATCGGGATCATCGATGTTGAACAAGTCCACATCCAGCACCCGTTCGATGCCCTCAATCACCCTGAGAATCTTGTGCAAGTGCAGCCGCAGCTGTGGCGGATCGTTCACTGGCGTGATATTCGCATGGAGCAGGAACCGATGCTTGCCCAGAATATTCTCGGGTATCTTGTGAATGTCGCCATAGATCTGCATATCCAGCGTGGCATGATCGTTGAAGTTCTCCATGCCATTGTGCACATACTTGAGCTTGTCGGTGGCCAGATCCACCAGATTGAAGGTGCGACAGGCCACAAAGTTGGATTTCTCAGCGGAATACTGCAGCAGTTGGCCGTACTTGGGCTGCTGCACCACATGGAAGACGATGGACTGCTCATTGAGGCTGGGATAGCGACGCAGATCGAGTATGATGTCTATGAAATGGGGTGACAAGAAGGCAGTGCCACCTTCCAGCAGTTGCATGGGCGAAACATACAGCAGTTCCAGCTCGGGACTGGTTTCAGTGAAGATCTAAGAGAGAAGAGAAAGGATATGCATCAGTATAAATGTAGCTATAGCCTAAGTGGGGGCCAAACGCACCTTAAAGGGCCCCTGGAAATCTGCCTTGATGCAGTAGGACTGATCGCAGTAGCATATAAACTCATCCACACCATGCTGACTGCAAATGCCGCTCTTCAGGCAGGGATTGTACTCCTGGCAGGGATACTTCCACAGGCAGTTGAGGGCGAGGTGCCGCGATATGCTCATTTCGCCAAAGCCCAAGGGCAGATCGTTTACCATTAGATCGCGCATGCAGCCCTTGAAGCTGATCTCATTGATGCGCAGCCCCTTGCCGATCAGGCGGCGTCGCATCTCCTCCTGCACGCCGCCAAAGAAGACGCTCTTCTCGAGATTAATGCTCGCCTTGGTCTCATTAGCGTGTGCGCCGCGATAGCCGCTGGTGGCATCGTCCAGATGCAGCTCTGCTATGGCCGCGTTATAGCGGAGGAGCACACGATGCCATTTGCCGTCGGATATGGACTCATTTGTCATGAACTGCACCAGACTGCCAGCCTTGTTGAAGGTCACTTTCAGGCGATGATCCTCGATCTCGAGCAGTATGAAATCAAAGCCGCCATTGAAGTAGATGATGCCAGCACTGGCCATGGTGCGGAATTGCAAAGAGAGGCTGCACAGGAGAGGAGTGAGTGGAATTGGATTGGATTAGCTTTACCCCTCACCAGCACTTACGTTTCTCCTGTGGCATGGGATTCCTTTAGCATCAGCGAGTAGGAGTCATTCTTTAGGAAACTAATGCTATCTTTTATGCTCCCATCGAACTCTGTGCTGCAGGTCCAGGACACACCCGTGCTGGTGGTGTGACCCGTGCGATCCTTGGCTCGTTTGATGATGTTAATGTTGTTATAAAAGACCTACAGAAAGGCAGTGAAGGGGAGTTACTAATCAGAGGAAATCCATATGCCAAAGGGGTTCCAGTTACTCACATCCGATATGCAGCCACGAAAGCCAATCACATCATTCAAAAACTCAGCCGTAAAATCGCCCACACCGCCCAGAAAGGTGCCAAAATGTATGTTCAGCGCTGACATTTCCCCCGGCAGCTGTTTGCGCATTATATAGCCATCCACCTGTAGCGTAATGTTGTTCTCAAAGCGCTGCACAGCCACATCGTGCCACTCCAGATCGTTTAGTTTTTGTTTCTTGGGCGAGCGCAACTGCCAAACGGATTGAACGCTTAGAGATGAAGTTATAACTGAGCATGGGAGTTGCCTGGACTTACCTGCACCACATCCCGTTCGATTTTATAGCTGAAAGTTATGAGACCGCTGTCGAGGCGCAGCAGGCAATAATCGGTACGTCCGGCGGCGAGGAACAGGAAGGCGTTCTCCTGTTTGGTGCGAAACTTGACGCGTATGTTTGTTGACATTTTGGCCTCCTGCAGCGGCATCGAGACATAGCCATCTCCATACAGTGAGACTGTGTACGATGTGTGCATGTGGGTGTAGCAGACAAAAAAGAATTCATTATAGATACGGATAGAGAGAGAGAGAGAGAGACACTGCTGTGGAGATACACTATCCCAGCCATAAATGGAGCAATTGGCAATCGCTTGGAATCCGTATACAAATTTGTCCAGAGACCTGAGAGCAGAGACCACTAGCCAGCTGTCAGTCTGTCAATCAAATGTCTCTCAGTCGAGGTTACCCCGAGTCAGCCAGTCAGTCAGTCAGCCATCCATCCATCCATCTATCTGGCTATCTATTGCGATCCATCTCTCTCTTTGTATCTTGATTTTGCTTAATTACTTGTGCGCCTGCTCCCATTCGAACGTGCTTTTTTTTTTCTTAAGAAAAAAGAGTATGACAAAATCGAACGAGATCGGAATAATTTGTTGCTCCCCCTCCCCCCATTGGTTGTTGTTCTCCAGAATTCACCTCATAAAAATTGCATGATTAATGCTGGTCGAAATTCCGCCGCCGCTGCCTGTACGCTTGTGCAATAAATTATTTTCGAAAGACATTTGTCAAAACATGAAACTAAAATTTTGGGTTGAAGATATTTTAAGAATTTCCTCACTCAAATTCAAAAAGGGAAAAGGGAAGACATTTTGTCGTGTTACATTTGTTTATGGGTTTTCCCTAATGCATATGCACGGACATACATATGTATTGACCTAACCCACATAGAAAATGTTGCCGCGGAGGGGGTAGGGGGAAACAGTTGCATACGAATGGCAGACAAAACAGCAGACGGCCAGATAAACAGACAAACAAAGCAAAATGAGCAACAAAATAGTCAACTATTGATGCGATGCGATGCGATGGCGTTGGCTGGTGGGCTGTTGGACCATTTTGACGCCAATTAGCAGCAATCAGGCGTCAAAGAGAGGGAAAACCTACGGAGAGAAAAGCACTTTCCCATCCGAGAGGCCCCCTCTTGCATTTTGACCTACATTAGGAGAACGGCTGCTGTTTCTTCTGTTTTCGGTTTTCTGTGTGTGTTTTTTTTTCTGCTACTTTTTGATGATGCTGCCTGGCTGCCTGCCTGCCTCAAACCAAAACAAAAGCCGCACAAAAAGATGCGGAGGCGTTATCGTTGGTTAAACAATAATATCCTACAGCAGCAAGCAAATGCAAATGCAAAATGGGGAATGACCGAATGATGTTTTGTATACGCTTAAAGTATGAGATTAAGTAAAGGGTATGCTGGCGTTTGTTCCGGAGATAAATCAGTGACAAAGTGAAGAGATTTGTTACAGAGATATTGGTTGCAGTATGTATTAAAATGCTGGATTGATAAATCTTGGGCATCGTTGACGATTTTGTTAATGGAATATTAATATTATTATTTCCGTATTTATTCCCACATGTGTGCCCTGCATAGCAATGGGTATATAAACATGTTATATAGAGCCATTTCTATCTCTACTAATGAACAGCAATGTTCGAGCTCTGTCAAAATGTCTTAGGCAACACAAAAAATATATATATTTTCACTTAGACCTGCTGCTTAGCCCATCAATCATACCCATGACTGGTTCGTGTTTCATCCTCATATTATATGAGCTTAAACTAATGCATGGATATGTACAAATCTTGGCTAAAGAAAGTGATCTTCCTGTCATTGGCAAATGCATAGATATTTGAAAGCTTAAATGTCTACTTAAAATCTTTTTTGTGGGAGGTTTTCGTTCCTATGAAACCTATCATTGCTACTACTCATGGTAGCATGTAGAAAATAACAGCTCTAGAATTGTATCTTAATGAAAAGAGAGCATTTCGACAATTGCTTTTAGAACTTTAATATTTTAATATTAGTTTAAATTCGGAATCGTCTTATAATTAAAAGGGAGGCATATTTTCTTAGCATAGGATAATCTTTAAAATTCTTAGAATATTTTTGTAGCTTGAATATTAAAAGAAATATAACTCATTCCTTACGGAAACCTATTTGGCAGATTCTGCTATCTTTTCATGTTAACAAAAAGGGAAGAAATTCCCATTGATAACCCACATATATAACAGAACCTTGAAAGGTTTTGCTAAATATTACTGATAAAAATTAAAACAAACGAACAAATACAAATACCCAAATACAGGGTATATTGCGCTACCATTGTTGCTCATAATTATCTTCTTTACATTCCAGAAATTTGGCTTCTTTTGTGTGTGTGAGAGCATCAAAAGCGCCTTTCAGGAAGTTGCTGGACGCTGAACAATAAATGCAATTTGCATCAACAAAATATGGTGCAGTTGGAGGGAGTCCACCACACGTCAGGCGTCATTCCAAATGTCGGCCAGCAACAAATGAGACATCATCGGGGCAGCATCGACCAAAAATGGGGGAAAAACATCAGAGGCGGGCCACGTTGCACGTTGCACATTGCAAGAATTATGGCAACAGATGCTTTGGCCATGCCACCCACTCCCCACCAGCACCAGCTCCATTCCCCCATTCAAATGCTAAATTTATGTTCATTTTTTGATGCCACTCGAAGCGCATGGAAGAGAGAGCTGAAGCTGGGAGGAGCTGGTAGAGTGGAGTCCAGAGAGAGGAGATAGAGAGAGAGAGGTATGAGGTATGTATGTTGTAGGTAGCCAGCGAATATTTATGTTATGGCCGATGTTTATTTTATTTGAGTTATATGTCGCCCGTTGTCCCCATACCCCCCCTACCAACCATACGAACGCTTTATAGTTATTCGCTTTTGTGTATATTTTATGGCTATTTCTCTACGCGTGTATTTGCCTCTCGTTTTGGTCTTTTAATTAATGCTCCTTTGGTGGGCCGCAGTCGCGTTGAAGTTTCTGGTTGCGCGCCATTCATTAAAAATTTATCTGACATTGGCAATTTATAAATTTCTGCTGCTGTTGTTGTCTTGCGTTGTGTTGTGTTGTGCTGTATTGTATGGTCCTCGTTTTTCATTTCATTTCACTAATAATGTCAAAGTTTATTAGTGGCGCATGTGATTTGTGGGCTTATTACGTGCTCTTGAGTGGATTTTTGTTGCAAGTTGCAGTTTCCTCGTATATCTATGGAGTCCGAGCGGCTCTTTTTATTGACATTAATGGGCAAATTGACGATGGCCCACGGAGGAATGGATGATTTGTATTTTATGCGTTAAGTGGCAATTCGGGGTGGTCACTAGACACTAGGACTTTCCTCAGTAATTGATTGCATTTCCAAAGTAAGTTTTTTTTTGCCATTTGATTTGCATTGATGTGGTATAAAATTCTCTTTAAATTTGTGTCTACAATTCTCTGCTCATCCACTAAAGATTGTTTCTTAAACTAATCATTTGTTCACTACATAAAATAAAATTCGTATAAAAAATCTATTAAAATTAAAATTAATGTTATTGTGTGCTGTTAGTGATTCCTTCTGGAGGTTCTATCATTTCCAAATAATTTTTAGCTCAAAATTCTTTGCTTAATAGTTGACCCATTGGCAAATTTCCTTTTGATAATTATCAAATATAGTCGTTTAGTTTGTTTTGATATTCATTATTTCTAATCGACTATTTCTCAAAAATATTTTAACTCAAAGAACTTTCACTTTAGCCTTTTCTCGCACAGCCTTTTCTGCACTTCCTGCACATTTCACATGTGTAGATATCTATCGTTTTTCTGAGAATCAAGTAATCCCCTAGTATTTCTCCCTCAATTTCTTCTCTGATCATTATCATTGTACTACTCATCAGCCTGGTAGCTTGCCAACCATTCTACACATTCTATAGCCCCATTGGGCGGCTTAAGAGATCAATCTAAATCAAATAAAAACCGCATTGAAGAAAACCATTTGCCTGGGCATTTCCATAGCATTTCCCCTGGTTTTATGGCCTTTCCATGGGAGAACATGTGTCGCTATCGCTAATGTCTTCTCTTTCACCCTAATTAGACTCCGGGGCCGCATAAAATTCAATTATATGTGAGGAAGCTATAGAGGCTTACCCTTTCGGCCGACCGACTATCGACAATTGAGGATCGACATAAAGTCATAAAGACAAATTTTCTCATGACTCAGGCTTAAGGCAAGGGGGGGCTGGATCAGAGTCGTCGCCAAAATAAATTGTCTCATTTTATATGTAACTTTTTATTGGTACCCTCTGAAGTGGGTTATTTCGACTTTCAGAAGATGTTTGTAGAGCAGAGAAGAAGGTTTTTGCAGTGCTATAAACTAAGAGTAAATGTGGCCAAACTCTCCTCTAGAACCCCATGGGAAAGTCTCTTTTACTGCCTGGATCGTATGCCCAAATAGCTGACATAAGCACAATGTATCTGCAAGGGTATCTTCAGCTTCGTTCTCCCCTTCGAAACCAGCCTTTTTTTTCTTGTGTTGCAGTTAGCATTGAGAATTGAGCATGTGTTGATATGTATATTGCAAATGCAAATGAATAATCAAAAGAGGAGACACGCACAACACAGCATATGGCGCGCACCAGATACAGATACACACACTCGCACTCGTACTCGCACTCGCATTCGCACCGATGGAGATATAGATACATTTGTATCTGCAAATGTATACATTGAATTTGGCACATCGCTTTTTTGGTTTTACGTATAAATAAAATATACTAAAAATCAAATGAAGCATACTAAAAAAATAAAAATAAAATAAAATAAAACAATTTTCGCGCCTCTTCTGGATGATTCATGGTTTTTGGCCCCCTCCCACCAAGTGACGTCACATGCCAACTAAAAATATCATTAAAAATACATTTGCGCCAAGACCAAAATATATATACAATACACTCCTCTAGATATAGGAAAATTAAGAGCATGCTTGGCATAGCATTTGCGGTGTGTGTGCCCCAGACCACGCCGCAGGCGGAGATATAGTCGAAGTAGAGTCCCGTCCCGTCCCGTCCCGTGCCCCCAACCCGACAGCCAAATACTTGAGCAAACGACAAAGGCAACTCGATGGCAAAGACGACAACAACGAGAAGAGAAGAGTAGAGAAGAGAAAAGTGCGCCCCAAGTCAAATGTCAAGCGTGAAAAATGCGTTAAGTGCACTGCAGCGGCGCATTGTAGTTAAGTAGTGGGATTTTATGGGCCGGCCATGGGGTTACCATGGAGCATTGCGAATGCAAAACTATATCCATAGACAGCAACAGGAAGAAACACCCAAGAGCCAGCGATCAGTTGGTCAAAGTTGTAACACAAATTAATTGAAATATTGTATATAGGCACGCATTTACGGTGGGAAATAAACAAAGGTCAAACTCTGGGATTTTAGGGAAACTTAAAGAGGGTTAATGGCAGTACCTAGAAGGAATAGTTTTTTCGACTGAATATTTTTAAGTGAATATATCCAAAGAAAATTCGATTAAAAAGGTTTGAAATATGTTCTTTTGGATCCCTAGTATTGTAGGGTTGATTTTTCATTGGTAATTAAATTAAATTGAAACTTCTAATCTCAACAATTTGGAGGCCTGCAGTGTTATCTCTACTCCCTTTAGCTTCTAATAGAAATTATTCAATTAAACTTGATCTATAAAAAGAGATTAAAGTCATTAAAAGAGAGCCATGAACACCAGCCGAAAAAGTATCAATGAATTGCAGCACTTAATTGCCTGCTTTCACGCACACACCCAAGTCATTGCCATAAGTATACGCTAAGCTTTCAAAAGCACACTTCTAAGAGTTCTTCAGTGAGCTCTGTCTGTGTGCAAGCTCCGCAAATCTATCCCTTAGAATGCATTTTTTGCGCACCATTTCATTCGATTGCCTCCACAGTGGGTACTGGCTACTGCTCTTCGGCACACGCGGATAACACCAAAATGTATGTGGCATTGCACCATTTGCAACTCTTTATTTTGACTTTTATTTATGTGTGTTTCGATGGCAGCCAAAGTAAATGCAATTTGGTGGCTGCCACAGTGGCAGCAACAGCAGCAACAGCAGCAGCAGCTTCTGCTTCTGCTTTTGGTCCCCTTTTTTATTTTGCGGCCAATTCGTGGCTGGCCATATTTGTAATGAGCATAAATCGTGCGTTGATCATTTGCCATGATAAATCTCATGTTTATGCGGGGTATTAAATTCTGTGGCGCGTATCTTTTTAGCTACCAGACTGTCGTAACATTTAATTAACTGTACGTTCTGTTCTGTTCGGTTCGGTTCGGTTCTGGCTCTGGCTCTGGCTACCAGACTCCCATAACTACGAAGAGACTCAACTCACCTTTCATGGCTGCGACAGTTTGGCAGCCGCCATGGAGCAATTGCAGCACGGCCAGCAGCAGCAGCAGCAGTGGCAGCGGCAGTCCTAATCCGCAGAGGCGCGACATTCCGTTGCAGCTGCTTTGAAGTTGCAGAAAGATACAGGAGACTCTGCCAGAGGGGGGTGCTCCCCTTTCTCTCTGATCCGGAACCCCAAGTGGCACTACCACGATGAAGAGTTTCGTTCAGAGTTTTCCTTCAGCTGCAGCTTCAGCCTTAGCTGCTTCTCGTTTCGTTTTGTATTTCGTTTTTGTATTTCGTCTTTAATAATTTTGCGTGTTAATTGATTTTTCATGGGGCCACGCATCCGTCGTCGGTCTGCAATAGTCTGGGGCCTCATAAAAATAGCATCATCGGAGGTGGATGGAGGAGAGGCTGCGGAGGCATCGACTCTAACTGCGACACAGCATCACGTCCTGGGCCTATGGCTACATAGACAGATGCTGCATGTCATTTCGTTGACAGAACTCATGCGTTTTCCTCCAAAGGGGGGGCAGAGCGGGGGTTGGGACAACCGGCAGAAGTTCCTCCAACGGAACGCTGACTGACAGACAGCCTTTGAAGCGGCCTGTGCTCCTCTTAATTTCCTATCCGTTTACTCGTACTGGTACTCGTCCTCCTATGATGTGTTTGATTCCAACTTTCGCTTGATTACGTTTCAATTTCGTTCACGTTTTATCATAAACACATTCGCCCGATGTCGGCGACGACTGATGGGCTTAGCGTTTTCTTTTTCTTTGCCTTTTCCGTTTCGTTATCTTTGCTATTGCACTTCACTGTAATTGAAAATGAATTTATCAGACTTTTCTCGACACACATACACCTCTTTTATTTTTGCATTTCACTATAATTTATTGGGATTTTTATGATACACTTGATGAACATTTAATTGGTCCACTGGGAGAGACTTTTTAAAAGACTTTGATACGCTTTTGAGTGCTTTTTGGTGGGGGGTTTTTTTAATGCTAGATATTTTATTATATTCATGAAATTTTGAATTTATTTTCACAATTAATTCAGAAGTTTATATTGTTTTAAAGTCTATTTTGTTTTGTTTACTTGCAGAAGTTTTTTTTTAGAAAACTTTACAGAATTTATTTCACTTTTATTTGTGTATCCAAGAACCCTTTTTATGCCAATTTTCCTCCCACACCTTCCGTAGTTTTCGTTTTGTTTATTCTGCTTTCGTTTTCATTTAGTTTTGATTTGTTTTTTCTTTAAATTGTATACAGTCTATTTAGTCATTCGTTTGCTATTTTAATTGCCAAATATTTTAGGCGAAACAAATCTCTAAATAATTCCCGGCAAAGATTCAAGTGCTCGAAACCTCTACATCCACAGCATTTGAGGGCTATATATAACTCTCCATACACGTATGTATATATCATTGATTAGCGTATCTAGATACTTTATGGACACTTAATTGAGTTGCTGCCCCAGCAATGTGCCTCCACTTCAGCTGAAAATTGCTGCACAGTGTCCGCATTGGAGTTGAGTACAATTTATTGTTTTTTTTTTGGGATACCAAGCCGAAGAGAGGGACGCCCATAAAAAGCCGCCTTAAGTGGCCTGCCAGAGCCGGCTTATGAGGGATTTTGTGTCTTGCAGCTAAAGTGGAATTTCTAGTTCAGGATTTTGCAACTGCAGTCAAAGTTCATGTGCAATGGGAATACACAGAATAGAATAGAATAGAATAGAATGGAACGGAACGAGGGGTACGTGCTCCCAAAATAGGGCGAAACACTTTCAAGTGTAGAATGCAAATCCAGGGAGACAGACCCGCGCACTGTCCCCTGGGAGAAATCCACAGAAAATATCCCTAGGGAAAGGAAACTTCGTGCGACGACGAAACGTCAACAACTGTGACTGGAAAATGAATTATTTACGCTGGGGATATCTAAAAATACTCGCAGACTCGATCTTTCCGACTGTGTGTGTCTCCCCGTTGCACATTATGTTTATGCATTTATTTTTGAGGGTAAAATGCTGCATCCACCGAGAGGCAGGCAGTCAGACAGGCAGGTTCGACATCATGAGGTCAATTGCAGAGCCTCCAGGCTTCAGCAGCAGCAGCCTCCTGCTCCTCTCATTCGTCTGTTGGTCTGTTGGTGTCTTGTTGGCTCCGCTAATTTCGCTTGTTAATTTTTACTGATGCACCGCCCAGGTTCTTGTCATTTTGAATATTTTTATAGCCCGTCGCGGCAGTCAAAATACAATTTGGAACGCCTGAGGCCCCACCAGCCCAGATGACAACCAAACCGAAAACGAAAAGAATATTTAGTATATGGTGACAATCGGCAGGGCGCATTTTTATGACAGACGCGTGGTTCCCTTCGCTACAAGCATTTCCATAAAAATTAATAAATGTATCTACCAGATCCAGCTGCCGCTAAATGCACTTTGGGAAAGTTCTATCTATCCAGCCCGACCCCCCCCCTCCCACCGAAACTACTTTTATATTTCTTTCTTTATGGTAATTAAAAAATTTGGTGGCTCGAAACAAAAGACCGCTACCTCCGGCCCCATCCCCTCCCTACTGCCGAGAAAAGTATTTGGAAATTGATTTGATAAGCCATGAAAATGCTGTTTTCATAGGGAAAATTGGTAGGCGTTGCTGCCCACGCCGATTTGAACGCTTTCCTAACTCCGTTTGCAGACAGAGGTGTGCGGACTTGGAGTCTCGGTTGCAGTCGATGATTTAGTCACACTTCTTTTTTTGTTCTTCTGTTTTGGTGGGGGGTCTTTGATTTATGATTCGAATCGGGCATTGGCTATTGATGAATGGAGTTGTACTCTGGTGCGATTTCTACGCCATATGTCATGGGAAATATGATTTTGATTATGGTATATCACTGGACGGAGAGAGATCTTGGTGCAGCTGGTACTTTTGGAGGGGCTTTTTTCTGCAATAATTGAATTTAATTTTTTGCCAATAAGGAATTTAATTATTGTTTGTTTTGTTTATAAATATCACAACTTTTATTTGATTTATTTTTACATATTATTTCTACAGCATGCTACATATCGTATCCATTTGATGGCAAATCTGTTAAAATCTGAATCTTTTTGTGACAGTTATCCATAATTTATTTCACAAATGGTAGATATAATAAAGAACTTGTCCATTAATTAGTTTATATTTATTTATTTATTTTTTATTTATTTGTTTTGCTTAAATTTTGCATTATTTATGGCTCTACTTTTCTCTCACTCATTCATTTTTTTCTTTCTTTTTTTGTTTGGCACAAATTTCAGTCTGCACTTTCTTTCTCCAACATTTATTTATAATTCTCATTATTGTATTCATTCATTTCCTCGAGAGGCTGCCAACATTTTCAGCCACATATTTTTCACACTTGGTGGGCATTTCTTTAATTTCCGATATTTAATTATAATTTCCATTTGGTTCATGTTCTTTCATGAACTTCCGCTTATCTGTGATTTGCATTTGGTTTTGGATCTTAGCAAGCATCTGCCCATATTCACGGTCAATTTGCAGAGAGCTCTTCTGCCGCTGTATCTGTATCTTTGTTCGTGCTCATATTTTCCCCAATAAGATACCGAAAACGAGAAGCGCACAACACAACAAACGCTGCCATTCAGAATGAGTTTTTAGCCGGAATTCTTGACGGGCGGAACGACAAAAAGTGCCGACAGAACCGAAAGGCACCGAAAGATGGAGACGGGAAAAACAAAACTTAAAAATAAATTAAATTTTCTTGGTGTTTTTTATTTTTAATGTGCCGCGCGCTTTTCCACTTACATTCTCATGGAGAGACACACAAACACTCAAAGGAAGATGGCACACACGCGCACACACACAGAGACTGGGAAAACTCTGATGGGGCGGACAGAGTTTTCCGCGACGTTTGCCGCCACCCGCAACACTAAAATGAAAATCGAATCGAACGATAGGCCGAACGAGAGGCAAGCCAGCGACCAGACACGACAACGTTTTCTCACAGACTGAACCGCGACCGCGACCGAACTCGAAAAATGAAATGAAAATTCCGCACGCAGTGCTCTGCCGAGACCGAGAGGCCCAATGAGGCAGCGGCGGACGGACCTCATGGCTGCCTTGCCACCGATGTTGCTTCCCGATGCCACCGCCATTCCATGGCGCACCCGCGAGTGACTTTTGTGCGACGCGGTCCGCTCAGCGCTCAGTGCTCAGTAAATGCGCGAATGAGGGGCCGCCAACCCAATCGGAATCTTCGTATCTAGATATCAGTGATGAGCAGACAACCGAAGGGATGTAAAAGGGATATACAAGAAATAATTAGTGATGGATATTGAAGAAAAAAGGAGTTAATAGTGTCAAGATATATCATTGTTAGTATGAGTGGAAGATGTCCATGTAATATGTAATTAACAGCATTCACGGTACTCTGATCCCAAGTGTCCTAAGAGGACACCAAATGACTTAATTAAGAAGCAATAATCCTATGACTCAATTAAATTTTCAATTATCTGAACAGGGTTGTTAGACGTCAAGCAAAGAGCACATTATGTCAAAGACTTCTCAGAAATTTACTTAAAGATCTCTAAGAATTGAATGATTCACAGTGTTCCCCAAAAGTACTCAGCTACAATACTCACCGTAGCCTTAAGATCAGCTATAAATGTACATTGGATCATTTAATCAAAAACTATTCTGACCCACAGCTCCGCAGGAATTCCGAGGCCAAAGAATACGCTTTCCTATATTTCTCCTTAATTCACAAGTGAATCAAAACTTTTATTCCTTTCCTAAGAGCATCACTGGCACGTATACCCTAGAACTCTCTCTCTATCTCTCTTGTGGTGGTTCCATTCTTCCCCCCTTTTTAACCAACTAATCCCCACATTCTCTGCTCATCTCTGAGCAGCGCTGATGACACTGTGCTCGGGCTCTGGCTGTTGCTCTGCCCCATCGAATGGGTGTTGCTGCGCTCTGTCCCATCCTCCACCTAAGGGGGGCCTCTGGCTGGCGGCGAGCACGCGAAAGTACGAAAGTGCGCTGCGATTGAGCAATTGCGAGCGCCAAGAGGCTGAGGACTTGCGGTTGAAATTTTTCAATTTGTTTAGCGGTGGTGCCTGTGCCTGTGCTGTGGACTGCGGTCGCTCTTTCTGGTGATCTCTGAACATCATCATCTTGGTGGTGGGGCTCTTCGCACACATGTGGATACAATTTGGCTGGGCCATCGCCTTTGCCTTTTGCCATTGCCTTTGCCATTGCCATTGCTTGTGCCACATGTTGTTCGCGGCACGGCTGCAACTGCCTTCGACTGTGTGTCTGTCTGTCTGTCTGTCTGTTGCATGTTGAGTGATAAAAATCTCTTAACCATTTTTCATCAGCCTATTAAGTTACATAAGTCACACGGTGCCGTATGGTTGCGATCCTGCTGCTGCTGCTCTTGCTGTTGCTTGTTATGTGTGCGCTCGTGTAAATATCCTTCTGGCGTGCTAATGAACCCTTTGACACCAGCATGGAGTCCCGCACCCAGTCACCACCAGACCTCCAGCGACCTCCCTGACATGCATCAAAAATTCCAACCAGCCGACCGACAGCAGATGCCACATAAATCAGACACACAACAAAATGAGGAATTCGCTGCGGTTACTTCATTAATAAATTAAAGGCATAAAATCACATGAAACACCTATGAAACCAGCACAAAACTTGCGCGTATTTATTTTCCCTAGATGCATGCATTTGTGTGTAAATGAGGAGGGAGTATTGGAGTATCGTGTGTGTGTGTGTGTGTGTGTGAGTTGTGTGTTCGATTACACGCCCCTCTTCAAGGCTCAACTGCAGCGCAACCCTTAGGGGCGCTCTCCTGATAACGCCAACAGGAATGACTTCATATCACGCACAATTTGTGTTTTCTCCCCCCCCCCCCATCATCGCTGCATGCCGCCTCTGACGGAC